TGTGGTAGGGGCAGGTCCTGCACAGCCCTAGTGGGGCACAGGAGGGAGCCATGAGCGGCTTGTCCTGGAGGGCATGGCTCCCACCACTGCTCATACCCTGGGAGCGCGTGGGGGTGTGTGCCCCTAGAGGGGCAAGGGTAGGCTGCTGCTATGGGCTGGGGGTGGTGCCGGGCTCTTCCCGGTGGGAGATTGGGCTGGGTCTGTGCTCAGGGTGGGTGGCAGTGGCACTGGGAGGAGGGGGTGGGGGGGGGCTATGATGAATTTTGGGGTGGCTTCAGCACCTCCCTCCCAGCACTGCCACTGGCTGCCCTGGCCCAGCCCCTGCCAGGAAGAGCTCGGTGCCACCCAGCCTTTAGTGCCAGTCCACCCTTGCTCCACATGCAGATCCAAGGGCACACACACCCGCCCATGCCCTCCTGGGGTGTGCACAGTGATGGGAGGTTCCCCCCGGCAGCCTCTGGATGAGCCACTCATGATTCTATCTCCACCCCAGCTGTGCAGTACCTGCCCCAGCCCCACTCCCTCCCTCACCACTAGGGCCTTAATCTACCCCCTCCACACACCCCTTTCCCCTCCTCTTGCCCCTTCCCCCACAACAGACTTACCAGCCAGATGCTGCTCTCCTGGCTGCCCAGCTGCATATCAACAATTGGTTTGATTTTGGCCGATATGGCTCCTTAAATATCAGCCAAGTGTCTATCGGTGCACCCCTAATTAGAACTATGAATATTTTTTACCCAAGCAAAAATAGAGAGGATGTCAGAATACAGCACAATTGATTGCTGGTAAAAGAAAAAGCAACTTTTTTGAGGTTTGAGTATAAAAACAGTTAAGAGTGCACTGATAGAGGTTTTTTGGGCTTCAATTTTGATCTGCCATGGGGCCTCAACTGCACGCATGCATGGGGCATTTATCAGCCTTGTTATCAGCCATGGGCAAAAAAAGCTAATTTCCGATACCGTCAATGTTCCCTATATTAGTGCCAATCCAATATGAGACCAGTGTATCGGTGCATCTCTAGAAACAGCTGACTTTATCCAAGCTGCTTTGCCTGTATTTATATTACAAATGGAGACCTTGGTGCTGCAGCAAAAAGGGGGACATTAAAATACTATTCTGCAACTGTGATGGGCACT